TTACATTTTTATGTTAAATTTATGTACCTATATAATATCATGAACATGTTTGATTGTTTTAAGGACATTTTTGATATTTCTAGGACATATTCACATATCWCTTTTTTAAGGTCAAAGAAAAGCGACAGTGTTAGCATAGTTATAACTGGTACTACTGTCTAAGGGATTTATTGATATACCTACTTACACATAATTATGCATGTMTATATCAATATATCTAATTAAATAATCGTTAGAAAGAGTTACTTTTGTTTAGAATACTAAATATTTATTGTTTATTGAAAAGTAAATTATAATTATGTTTAATAGTTGAATAACATTAAACCTCCAAAAAATAAATTAATAAACTATATTGAATACATTTTGTACGTTTTAATAGTATAGTTCTAATAATTGTTAAAAAARTAATTTTCATTCATTTTATTCAACGGGAAAAATAGTTTATTTTGTTAATTAATTTWGCTAATTTTTTTCTCTAAACATTTTAATATCACACGGTTGGATATTATTAACATACGCTGCTGTATATATAATATGAGCCTTCACGTTCATTCGTTATTCTTGTCTCCAATCCCTTTACTCTATAATTAGACTCACTCCCCCACCTCAAAACACGTCAACGCCAGTCCTTGGACGTATATGAAAACAAATATAGAATTTCTTTAATTTGTTTATTTTTCTGTCCTTTTTTTGTAATTGTTTTTACACGAAAAGGTTGATATTTATTATTTTGTGTGCAGTTTGGCAAAAGGCGACTTTAACGACGGAGGCGTAAGTGCGTACTGCATAATATATTCAGGCTTTTTTTCAAATCGTATATTTTCTTTTCATCGTTTTCGGCATCGGTGGAAGGGACGCGGGTGTATAGTATATAGCAATGAGTCGTGTGTTCCAAAATTAAACTTCAGCCAAATGGATCACCGACATGATTGTGTCTAGAGTGTACAGTTTAGTGTACACCGCGCCGTCATCTCGTCGTGTCGCTCTTTTGACTGTGCTGTACCGCAAATCAGCATGACGACGGCGCAATGTTTTCGTCGTTAAAGTTTTCCACGCTACGGTCGAAGAAACACACGTCTCCGAAACAAAGCGTGCAGCACCGGAAGTCCACGAGCAAATGTAAGGAGCCTACACGTGAGCAACATTGTATACGTCCGAATATTATATATGAGCGGTCGACGTCGAATTCACGATCACATTCTCGTAATTATTAATTTTAGGGCTACTGGACAAGGTGTGTTCCACCCAGAAGAGCGAAGACAAACGAATGGTGTCCAAGCACGCGGTTTACGAGTCCAGCAACTACACGGATCAATGTATGGGTATACTATACATACTACATAGTATATAATAATAAAAATATAATATTGTTTATGAATTCTAAGACTTTAATTATAATAAAGAATTGAGTAATATATATTTATAACAGGCCTTCAATAGACGCGATAATAAATAGTGATTACAATATAAATTAACTTACAAGTATAATATATATCAGGGGTGGGCAACTGGCGGCCCGCGAGCCTTTTTTATCTGGCCCGCGCTACATTTTCAAATTGCATTAGGTATAGGTATACAATTTTAAACTTTATCGTCTATACTCTATAATCTATAATGTCTAGTCTCTAGTATAGTGTATACTCTATCTCATCGATATAATAATTGTTATCTGCTATTGAACATTGTTAAATGTATAAATGTCAAATATGAAACATATTAAATCAAAACATAGAAATCGACTTACAGATGAAACATTAAGTCACCTACTTCGTGTTTCTTCGTCCGAAATAGAAKTCGTTGTCATTAGAAGCCACACATCCTCAAAACTCTCACTAAACTGAAAATAACTATTTATATTTAAATATTTAATTAAATTATTTTCAATAACGCTTTTTGTATTACCTATGTCCTATTTCATTATAAACAAAATAAATGCTATTTAAAATGTATATTTTGAATGACCTTTTGTTTTTTGCTTTCTATGCTCTGGCCCGCTATAT